TGTGGATATTCCTGGACTTGACAGAGGGTGAACCAAAGGGACTGCCTGAGAAAACAGTTTAGAGCTCTGAGGGTCATAAAAATTGCTCAGGACTGAAGAAAGGTTGATTTTCTTACAAAGCAGGAGAAAACTTTTAATTCCCAAATGACATCCATTCTCTCAGGTCACAAATTTATAGTCAAAGACACACTGCTGGGGGAAAGGTGAGGGTGGTCAATGAGATTTCTCTCTCTTCATGTGATACAGAATGCACAGACATGGCCGTGGAGTAGACCACTGCATCCGAGATGTTTCAAAGTTGACAGGTCAGCAGATGCGCTGCCTCTAATATATCTCGGTAGTCTCTCCACCACAGGCATTTTAATAGACCTGGAGAGAGCATAATTATTCTGTATAATGATCTGTGGGAGAAAAGCATCGGATGAGGTGAACAACATCCCAAAATCATAAACACAATCATGGCACCAGATGTTCCACTGAAAAGGCAATGACAATGACTATGCTGAATGCTCGAGACATTTTCTGTGCATGTGCAGGAAGAACTCCTGACCAGTTTTTGAGGTCATTACAAGACAATTAAGCCAATTCTATTAAGCAATTCCCAAATTGCTCTCTCCAAAGGTGCCAAAGTAATATATGCAAACCATAAGACGGTTTCCCAAGGGAGACCGAGTGATAGCACAACAGTACAGCTATTAAAATATGCATGAAACATTGGAATCAGTTAACTAAATTGACAGAATAATTACTGTCATTTATTTTTATATTATAAGTTTAAAAGTAAAATAAAATGCGTAAAAATACATATAAAATACTTGAAGCAATGATTGGAGTAAAAATTAGGTCACTCTGATAGACTAAAATACACTTTCCTACAAGGGCTAGTTAAAGATCTCCTTTTTATGAGCCACAGTATTTACAGTAACCTATTCTTATCTATACTGACTCCATTATTCTCCAATAACTCTACGCTTACAATACCTGACTCAATTGTTTATTCAAACTCTTCTCCAAAAAAAGTATCCAAAAAAAAAGAAAAATACACCACCCTTTTCCAACACGAAGGAACACATTCAGTGGTGTTCATGTTAAGGTGATGAAAAGAAATGAGGAAATGCAAATGTTGTCTTGCTCTGGGGAATTCAGTGACAGGTCTACTCTCTGAAATAGCACAGCAACAGACTGCTAAAGCATTCACAGCTTCTTTGATTTTCCCTTTCCTCGTCCAGTCAGAGAGCTTCCCCTCAGAGGAGAGACAGCTAGATCCATAAAGCTCTGAGTTACTGATGGAATGCCTGCAGGATACACTGTATCCTACAGTAAAACTAATTTCAGTGTGCCATTACCCAGAAACATGACCTACTTTGAGTTCCCAGTAAGCTACTACAACGTAGGTCTGTAGGTGGTGGCAACCTTACATTCTGGGCAGAGGACTCCAAGGACGACCTGAGTACAAATGAGACGCCTGACCCTTATAGGTAGGCAGCATAAATAAACATGAATTCCTGAAGACGAGACTCAATTATCTCAGATGGATTCGATAGCCTGGAATCTCAGAGGACCCTCTCTCAGTCAAGCTGACAGGGGAATGCCTGTGCTCCCCATAAGGCTAACAGCATTGCCAGTGGGCTACATACGACAGGGTTAGGACACTAGAAGCTCCTTTATAATACTGAACAGTATATTGAATGTTAGATGAAAGCCACTGAAAACCTTTGAGAATGATCACTAGACTAAAACCTTCAAATTACGTACTAACGAACATTATGGATGATTCCAATCCACACCTTTTTTAAGAATAACACAGTAGGAGTATTAATAAATGAAAGACAACAGTTCTTCTTTGTTTTTGATCACGAATGTGTCACCATTTTCCTGGAAAAGTGTTTATGAATTCACAGCTGTCGCATTATGGCTGTAAAATTTCCAGTTGGAAATTACAAACATAAAATGTTTTTTAAGACAATATTTAAAGAAAAATATATCTTTCTATCTAGGGATGGGTCATGATGGTTGACTAATTGTCATATATATATATAAAATAAATAAATGGAGCCTGGATATTATTTCAATATAGTCTATAATGCACAATGATGGATTTAAGAAAAAATATTACATGACTGAGAACAAGCCAATAATAAAACAAGCAATAAAATGCTGACATGAATGCCATTCCCCTTTAACACTACCTTATTGTGATGAAGTGATGTCAGCAACATTGGCTATTGGGCAGCATGGCACAAAAAGCTTCAATAAATGTGCCACCACAGTGTGGATGCAGCTGAAACAATTAGGGTAATTCTACCTCTGCTAACGGGCTCAGGGCCAGCTAACTCCCTCTCCCCACCAACACACATACACACAACCGTATGATACAATCACACAATCTTTTAACCCTTCAACACTCTCAGGTTGCCCTATTTAGCTTGGGAAACATTATGTTAGCTTTAGCAATTATATCAATAAGATGAAAAGACAAAAAACAACTAAATTCCTCTGTAGCTGTTTCAGATTTGGCCAGATGTATCTTGGCCTGTGGTTTTCTAGTAAGAGAAACAAAAATGCAAATAATGCCTATGCAAAGCAACAGCTAAATTCTGCTTATTCATCAAGGTGGGGAAAGATAAGCAATGCTTGCTGACGCACTTGATCTCAGGTGCCAGTACCTGCTCTCAACACCCCGATCATTAGACACACATAAACATACCAGCATCAAGGCCTGTCAGCCAGATTGTCAGGTCACTGGAGCAGTTAGGTGATTATGACTGCCAGAAAAAAATCAAGAGTATACTGACATAAACATTAAATAACCAATCTAAAAGTATGACTCTGAAGCGTCACATTAGCGAAATTTCTGTTCATTTTCATGGGAAAAAATCTGTCTATTGTCAGTACTAGTGTAGCGATGTATGGGCCTGTTTACACCTGGTCACTTCATGCATTTTCTCAGATCGGATAGCTATCCGATCGTGAAAAGACCGAGTGTAAATGCCATCCGAAACGCATTTGAGACGGATTTAAATTCAATCACTCAAACCACTTCAGGAGTGCCTGACACGAATTCCAGACGAAACTGGACAAGTGTAAATGCATCTGGTTAGGTTATTGAAACCACATATGTAAATCACACAATATGTAAAGCTTACTTTTGGTAAACACAGAGAATCTGCATGCCCAGTTTGAAACAATTGCGAAATCTGCCTCAGTAAATCTTTCACTCTTATGCAGAATTCCCTATTGCATGGATTCCGACTGAAATTACTGGATTTTGCCAGTGAAAAATTTCCAGTTGAAAAAGTGAAAGATTCCAGTTGTTTGCCAGTGAAAAATTTGCCAGTGAAAAATGTGTCAGTGTTTTTTAAAAGTTGAATTAACATCTTTTACCTTGAGTGCCGTGTAAAATGCTGTGTCATGTGTGAGATACGGCAAAAAACGTGAGATACGAGTGCAATGTTAAAGATGCCCATCTAGTGCGTTTACATAGAATAACAATGGCACATCCCAAACAAGGTGAACAAATGCCAGCGATAATACTGGCATTTGCGAACAGCACAACATACAAAAACTCAAAAATGCATAAAGAAATAACCGATGCCATCACGTATCATTTATGCATAGATATGGTGCCTGTAAATATCGTCAATAAAGAGTATGTGTAAGGAAATATCGCTTCAAAATCATGATTAAAATCGAAATCGCAATATTGATAAAAAAATTGTGATAGTACTTTTTTGTCCATATCGCACAGCTCTAGATGTTAACCACCTGAGACAGTCCCCATCAATATTCAGATTCAGGGTTTTTTGATAACCAATTCTCAAAATGTATCCTTGGTTCCCACCAGTATTAAATGGAGAATTACCCCTAAAATGAAAATTATTAGCCTACATCATCATCTGACCCTCATGTCATTCCAAAGCTGTATGACTTTCTTCTGCAAAATGGAAAGAAAGATATTTTGCAGAATGTGCCCATTGAGTTTCATGGTATAGACTAAATAAATAAATAAAATACAATTTTTTTTAAGATTTTCAAAACATCTTTCATGTTCCACAGAAGAAAAGAAAGTCATACAGGTTTGGAACAACATGAGGGTAAGAACATGATTAAAGATTTTCATTTTTGGGTGAACTATCAACTTATTTGTTTACATCCTTGATGAGGAAACACTTACAGCTGACAGGGGCTGTCATTGCCTTATATCAAATCAAATTAAAATGTATGTATAAAGCACTTTAAAAGAACCGAACTAGACCAAAGTGCTGATAAACAGGCCTTTATTAAAAATACTTATCTCAAGACTTATATAATTCTTCAATTACTTTATAATTATTGAAGAACATTCACTTCCATAAAATCACCAAATCCATAAAAGTAACACCAAATAGTATAATAATAACTGAAGGTAAAAAGGAAGAAAATGACTGGTTAGAAAAAAAATCAGATTTCTATGTGTCAGGAAAAGCACTTCCACTGTCTGCTTAGGAAGAGATAAAGTGCGATAGGCTACATGATAAATACTATGGAGGTGTTGAGAAATGTTGACAGATTAGTGAAATCTGTTTATCAGTGTGGACGCTTCTGCACCACCCAGATTAGTTACACTTCCAGTAGGCTGCTAGTTAGATACTGACTGTGTGTCAAAACCCAGTGAGATGTCCACTCTCAGACGATTTAGGGCAACTTGATCGCTTGGAAATGCGAATATGATGCTGACAAATCTAAGTAGACAGCTGACAATGTTTTGTGACACAGCCACTGACAACAACATTACACCAATAAAACAAAGACATGACCAAACAGCTTGCCCCACCTTCATCCTCCAAGCCTTTTACAACAGCAACATCACAGCTATGTGAAATGACAGGTTGAGGCTTGTTAGCTCGCTGAAAAAGAGTTAATATGTGGGCTTAACTAGCTGGCTAACGCTGCTAACGCTAGCTTAGCACTGCCGCGGAACTGACTGACCGCCGATAATCGCTGAAGCTCAAACCTCTTACCTCTTTTAACGGCCTCGTCAAACGAAAGGAAGCCTATCCGTGACTCTTTGGCGCCCATGGTGCCCTCATTTCATTGCAATGGCAGAAATGTGCAGAGTGTGACCGGTGCCTGTTGCCTTGTTTTGTGTTGTTTTTGTTTTTCCCCTCTCTCTCTCTCTCTCTCTCTCTCTCTCTCTCTCTCTCTCTCTCTCTCTCTCTCTCTCTCTCTCTCTCTCTCGGTATGGTGTTCCTCAAGTCAAGCGGTAGAGCTTAGCGTTATCAACGAGTGACGCGTCGAAGCGACGACGCATCCACACTTGATCACGTGACATTTGTCCAATCAGAATGCAGGGGGCGTACGAGCGTCAGTTTCACGCAAGAAACGCAACACTGACGCATACGCATAAGAGCTTTTCGCCCAGAGCTGGCTGTCAAGTCGTCGACTTTATATCCGTGGTTGATATTAGCTTGCTTGTGTGGAGCCAGTTTAACCAATTTGCACCTTGTTGCATCAGCGCAACAACACCATTGCTTTACTTTGCCAGCACATTGTGTGTATAGTATTAGTTTGGAAATCAGCACATTTTTTCTCTGGAGAGCCCTCAGCTATTTTTATTCGTTTCATCACCCACCAAAAATATTATTCAAATGTGTTATTGGGTAGTTGTAGTTTTGAAACATTTTGAGTCGTATACATTATGTGTATGCTTTAAAATTGCTTAAATAAGTTTCTTACCTAGAATCAGCATTGTTTTATTCTACTAAAATAAATCAGAAATGTTTTTGGTCTTGCGTAACGTTTTGACCAGTGCAATTTGATCATTTAGTAGCCTAATGTGCTCTGCTTTTATTGTTTTTATTTCTAAATTTCTAATTTTATTTAGCCTATGATTTTAGTCACTTTAGTAATTAAACTTCAAACTATTTTATTTCAGTTAGTTGACAAGGCAACATTCCTAATTTTCCGTAAAGTTTGCTACATTTATAATCCACTATTTTTTAGTTTTATCTCAGTTTTATTTCAATTTACAAAAACGTTTTGACTTATTTTTAAGGAATGTATAATCTACACAAAATCAGATCTGACAAGTAATTATGCAAATCAGTGCACATGCTTTTTGTCGCTAACCTTTCATAAATCTTATAACAAGCTTCCGGACGCTTATCTTTTAGCGCCCCCTGTGGAATATAGTGTGTTGCAACACGAATGACTCTTGCACAGCAGAGAAGATGGACTCTTTTGGATTGATTTAAATGTTAATGATCATAATGACCTTTTGCTTATTCATGGTGACAAAGGAATCTCTAATAGTGAACACAAATCAGTTTCTGACATTCTTAGAAGAAGTAATTAATTGCTCAGCCCAAACATCTACAGTATAGAAAGAATAAACATCAATGGATTGGACAATGCAGGTTAAAGTACATCAGTCTCAGATTTAAAATTGAAAACGTAAGTGTGTGTAGTCCGCTTTTATTCAATATAGTGATTAATGATATTTTTAAGAATGTTGAGCCAAGTATGGGTACTAAATCTCGGACGATGGGGCAGTATGGATGAGAGGACGAAATATTATGAGCACTGCAAATAAGGTCCACATCGCAGTACATCAGGTTGAGGAGTGGGCAAAGAAATGGGGATTTCGTTTATCTACAGCTAAAACCCAAATAATGTGTTTTTCAAAAAAGAAAAACACAGATGTAAGATTCAGACTATGGTCATATTCTTGAGCAGGTAGCTATGGTGAATTTTTTGGGAGTGTGCATGGCTAGATAAAAAAGTTGACTTTTAATATATATATTGAGAAACTGATTACAAGGTGCAAAAGAGCATTAAATCTTATGAGATGTCAGGTAATGTGATTGGGGGCAAGCTGCAGTTCACTCAAGAACATATATTGCTCAATTATAAGATCAGGAATTGATTATGCTGTATGGAACAGCAAGTGATACAACAGATGTGATGCAAATGCAGGCTCTGAGAATGTGTTTTGGGGCTTTTACTTCTCCTGTGAATGAAAGTTGAAATGGGTGAAATGCCTATAGAAGTGGGATGGCAACAAATATATGTATTATTGATATCATTAACAGGACTTAGGAATATACACCCAACTCTGTGTTTCATGAAAGTTGGGAACACAGTCAAGGCAACATCAAGAGCAAAGGATGGACAGGAAATAGAACGGCCCAAATAATGGGTCTAGATCAGTGGAAATACACTCAAAGTGTGCCATGGTCGTTTCCTATGCCTTGCTACACACATTAAAGGAAATAAGGTCACGGCAGTTAAACATTTAGTGAATCAATACTTAAAACAAAAATACTGTAATATTTGAGATATTTTACAGATGGATCAAAAGAACCAGAATTTGGAAAAGTAGGAACAGCAGTATATGTTCCAAAATTCCAGATAGCTGTTAAAACGAGAATTTCAGAAAATGTAATGGTGTTTATAGCTGAGCTTGTGGCAATCTGGCTCTACAGTGGGTAAAAGAAACTTCCCTTTTTTCCTGTATCCCACATTCCTGCTATTAATTGTAGCTTTTCTGATAATTGCCTTGGTTTCAGATTTGCTCATGAGAATTGTGATTTCATCTTTATTGCATTTTAAAGAGTTTTTTTCTTGTCTCATTTCCTTCTATTCCTACATGTGCAGGAATCCAACTTGACTCTTTAGCAGCTCTAAAAAGCCTGAAATATGGTAATTCTTACTGTAGACATGTTATAATAGCCTATATAGGATATATTACAACTAGTGTACGTACTGCATAATCAAGGAATTACCATTAATTTTCTTTGGATTCCTGTACATGTAGGAGGAAATGAGACAAAAAAAAAAACTCTTTAAAATGCAATAAAGTTGAAATCACAATTCTCATGAGCAAATCTGAAACCAGGGCAATTATCAGAAAATATACAATTAATACATAGCAGGAAATGTGGGATAGAGGAAAAAAGGAAGACATTTATATATTTAAGAAAATGTGGATATAAGGAAGACGATTCACAACAGTATTAAGAAAAAAAGAAGAATCGATTATAACAAGATTATGTATAGGTCATACTGGACTTAATGGTAGGCTACCCATAAAATAAAAAGCATCATAATGGGTTTTGCAGTTATTGTAATGTAGAAGAGACAGTCGAACATTATACTGTACAGAGTATGAAAATGAAAGACGAGTGTTGCTCCTAAAACTGCAGCAAAAAGTAATCCAAGACATGGCATTAAAAAAATCTGTTGGCAAGAAAAGGTATGAAAGATAAGGTTTTGCAATAGGCTATATAAAAGCAACAAGATTATATTTGAGAATATAATTAAGTTATTAAGTAAGTAAATATTTAATTTATAATTTTTTCTGTTTTCTTTGTTATTATTATTATTTAAGACAAGTTTGTAAGGGTCCTTTCTCATTGCTGTTCCACACTCCAGTTCAGTTTGTGGCGGTAATGCACCTAAAAGCTGGTTTGTCAACCGTCAATAAACAAGAAGAAGAAGAAGAAGACTTTTCCACAAGGTGCGCTGTCATGTAAATAAGAAACGAGTGACCGTGCGGCAGCAGCAGCAGAGAGCATCACTTGCGATATGGGAATTCATGTCTTGCTGTATGTGCCTAATGTAATTGGTGAGTAATTATTACGTGACTTCGATACATTAATTTCAGCCGCACAATTCATTTTAGAGAATCAAAAATATATCACTTAATTCATGACACATTCAATCAGCAAATACCCTAAGGATGGTATCTATTTATGATACAAAACTGTTTCTTTTTTATAGGTTATATCCGGATTCTTCTTGTTCTCAGTTCCTGGATGCTGTATAGTTACCCAGAGAATTTTGTACCCTTGTATGTGTTATCAATTATATTGGATGGTAGGTTTTTACATTAAAACTAGGGAAATTATAGCCTGTGCACTCTTAAAAATAAAGGTTCCTGGGAGCCTGTCCTAGACTACATAAAAGGTTTACTTTGTTCTCCTAACACTAATGCTATTACGCAATAATTGACTACTACTGGAATGAGGAAGGACCAATACTAGAGAGAGGAATGTTTATTCTAATCAATTTATTTTCAATTATTATTATTTTTTATTTTATTTTTTTTGTGGATGGGAGGGTTCTGGAAGGGTTTAAATTGAGACAGTCTGTAATTTCTTATTTTTAATTGAATGTATCATTATGTGTTGTCTTGTTAAATGCCAATAATAAAATAAAAATAAAGGTTCATTATTGGCATCTGTGGGTTCATTGAAGAACCTTTAGCATCCATGGAACCTTTCCAATAAATAGTTTTATGGCACAATTACGAAACTTACAGCAGGGTCAGAAAATGTTTTCAAATGATTTAAAGTAAATTATAAACAAAAGTAATTGTGCATATCATTTTTGTTGTATTTCATGCTACATAAGTGAAGCTTTACTTTCCTTTATTTGATACATTATTTATAATTTATTCTACTGAAAATATATACATGCAACATGCAAAATGCATCATAGTTCTATGGAGGAAAACCAGGAACTTCTCATACCCTTTGCTCTCAGTTTGACAAATGTATATCACTGCAGGTTAAAACCTTGGCGAACAAAACTTGTTAAATTATTAGTATATTTAACAAATGCTCGTATTTACATGAATTGATTTAGTGTTTTATCTTTGTGGCAGGGGTGGACGGCTGGGTGGCACGTAAGCTGCAGCAGACCTCCAGGTTCGGCGCATGGCTGGATGTGGTCATTGACAACGTAGGACGTGGCATGCTCTGGAACATGCTTTATGATGTAAGTTCAGTCAGTACTTGTTTGTCACGAACATAATTGTATTAGAAATTTTCACTTTATACTCTGTGCTTGTGAAGTGGGGCTGGCTGGTGTGTTCATTAGAGTGGTGTGTATTTGTGTGCAACCACAATGCCAGATGTGCCCAGTGGAAGAACACTTTCACAAAGAGCCCAGTTTGGGTGCAGGCAGTGATGGCAAAAGGTATCACAAGATATTTGTTCTTTTTAAACATTAAGATTTTTGGAAGCACAGAATGAATAGTGTTATTCTTCACGCAGGCTTCAAGACACCTTTGGGAATCCTGACAATAGCAGGTCTCCATGTTTTGCCTGTGTGGCTGTATGGCTACCAGCATGAGGTGCTGTCTCATGCTCTCTATGCCCCATACTGGCTACAGACTCTGGGGATTCTGGTGCTGGCAGCAGGACGCTTGCTGTGCTTTGCAGTTGAGGTAAGGAGCACGTTTACCCAGCATTATCATAAATTATGGCAGCAATATTAATGCTTTTACTGTCACAATAGAGGGATCTGTGTGTAAACAGTAATTGTTCATGTGTCATTTTGCAGATGTGGTGCATCGTAACCCATATGAAATTCTTATTGTTGGATGAAGAGGAAGAAAAGAAGAACTAGGGATATATATATATATATATATATATATATATATATATATAAATTTGTGTGTATACAAAAAATATTTTTTATTAACTACTAATATAATATACACTACCGTTCAAAAGTTTAAATACTGCACTTCCGGTACAGTATAACAGTAATATTATGAAATAGTATTACAATTTAAAATAACTGTTTTCTATTTGAATATATTTTAAAATGTCAAAAGCTACATTTTCAGCATCATTACTCCAGTCTTCAGTGTCACATGATCCTTCAGAAATTATTCTAGGCTGATTTGCTGCTCAAGATTTTTTGGTGGGGAACTGTGATTTTTTTTTTTTTTTTTGATGAATGGATAATTCAAAAGTACAGCATTTATTTTGAAATAAAAATCTTTTGTAACAACAAAAAAGTATTTACTGTCACCTTTGATCAATTTAATGTATCTTTGCTTAATACAAGTATTAATTATAAAATAATCGTACTATTTTATTTTTTACCTCCTCCCCTTCGTAATTTATGAACACTGTGTCTTATATACGTTTTAATCTTGCCTGGGCTACTCTTATCTGTTCTGTTGTAATTGTTTTGTTGAAATTTTCCATTAAAAAAAATAAAAATTCTAAGAAAATCCCATAAAAACGTCCATGTTTTAGGATGGATACAGTCATTTGAGAGGATTTTCTTAAAAAGAAACACCTGGTCATTAATTTTACAGAGGTACACATGCCGAGTACAGTCTTTTATTCAATTTTTTGTTCAGCCACCAATCCATCCGAAAGAGTGTTTTTTGTAGGATCCCGTTGCATTCAAGTCATAGACTCAAACATATCACATTGACTTCAGAAACAGGTGAAGAATAATCATGTAAAGGCCAAAAATAAAGCAATTTTAATACTTCAGAAGCAATATTGCTCATTGTAGTCTATAAGACAGCTCTATATTGTTTTTTGTGTTAGAAGTAGTTACAGATTTTCACAATGGTGGATACAAATGAGTTTAATAATGATTTGGTGGTTACAGATGTACAATGTACAGCAGACTCTACTGGGAGTGAGTTACATAAAGCCAATGACTGAAGAATATCCAAGCAGAGGCTCACTGTGGCACAGGTTACTGACATTTCCAGGGTAACAGTCAGTATCAATGTTAAACAACACAATTTTCCTCTTTTTTTAGCCAAACGCTCCTAGAGTGTCTCCAATGGATATAGACACGAACAGGTCTTTAAAACAAAATCATAAAAAGGTCACATCCACTCATAGGTCGTTACTTCAAGGATCGCCATCGTCCATCTGAAACAGCACTTTGGCTATGTCACAATCTACACGTGTCAGCACGTCCAAGGACTTCGTTAAGATAATTAGCATCAAAAAGGCCCCACTTTATCGTTATCAACCCGTAAATACATTCTCCAACTCTGAGGGCAGATTTAGAAGAAAAGTGAAGGGTTGTAGTGACAGGATTGCTTTTATTGTCAGAGGATGCTATTTATTCATTTCCGTGATCACTTTCGAGTCATTGTTCTCTTGTTTCATGGGACATTAACTGCTCAGTATAAGATTGTTTTTCTGTCACTATGGAGCTCACTGGGACAATAACCACTTGTAGCTATGCATCTACTTCTATATACAATTACTTAAACATGCAAAGAAATAGAACGTTTGACCCATAAGCACCTTTGTTTTTTGGGGGACTGTGGCCTATTCTGACTTTTTTTAAAAACAGTATGGATTTGATCAACCATCTTGCTAACCATGAAATGCCACTTGAGGTTGACAAATGAGCCCTTGAATCGACATTCAGAAGGAAGCAATCAGAGCTACGCAATTCTTTCTACATCCACCAAGCTTATTTCCCATGTGCATTATTTTCACATCTGATATTGAAACTGTCATCTGATATGAGAACTCCACTAATATAGTCAATGGAAATGCACTTATAACAAGTTTGCAAGATCACAGTTTATTTGTTACAATATTCCATCTCTCTAACCAAGGCAAATTCCCATCCTTCCCTTGCTGTCTCTTTATGGTATTGAGATTGCCTGATTCTTCACAATCAAACCCCAACCTTAACAATAAAATGAGTGAAATAACGCCCCTCACATGTTCTAGCAGATCTCTTGCTCGGTTTACAAGGTGTTTGAAATTTCGGCCAAAGCAAGCTATTTGAAAAAGGCTGACAAATTAGATCCCCACCAGCTGAGAGTCCTTTAAGACTAAGGCTGGGACTTCAGCTCGAGCTGGGGTCCTGGTGCTGCAGCCGTGATCAAGGGCTAAAAAAGCTGCAAGACGTTAACAGCACATTCTACATGACTAGCCTGAAGCAAGGCTTTGTTTCAGCAAAAAAGCAATGAGTTCACTATGAGGAAAAAAATTTGCCAATTTAATCGCAACAGTCCTCATTCAACTTAAAATGTTCTCCTTGTCAACTTGGTTGCGAGTCTGAGTGGCTTTTGGATATTTGACAAAGGAGCGGCAGTGAAATGAGTCAGACTGATTGGATTTGGAGTGTGGTACAGGTGCATTCAGCAAAATATTGCACTGCTACTACACAACTGTGTGTGGATTCACACCCCTGCGCACTATACCGCAGGTTTACAATGACAGGTGCTGCGCTCAGCCCTTTTTTTTGGTGTGTCCAGTCAGCTGGCAGTGGGCCAGGGGTGTTAATCTACGCCACCCGGGGCCGAGCTCTGAAAGGAAAACAACAACGACCTGGGTAACCTGGTCCCGTAACTATCACCGCTCCAGCTTATATTGTGTGTGTGTGTATGGATGAATAAGGCTTTGCTATGACAGAAAGCCAGCTTTGTGAACTCGTCCTCCCACTCCGTTTAGTTTATATATGGCAATTTAATGTGGTCACACACGTATTATAATTATTAACAGAAGTTATTTTGGCTCATCTGTTTGCAACGTTACACCTACAAGTTGTAGCATACCTTGCATATAAATTATTGGCAGTTTAAAATAAGCTATGTCAGTACTAAGGGAATACAAAACCAGAAGAGAACTTAAAACAAGGTATCTAGAGCATTCGTAAACCCACTGGTCCATAAATTCCACACATGACATGAATTAATAATAAAAAAAGCAAAAATAAACATAATGGTCCATAATGTAACATGGCTGGTCTCATTTTCCAGAGAGCACACAGGTAATCCTCAAATGCAAAGCTTTGCATTACATGAAGTCAAGCTCTAATCCTCGTGTTAATGGGGACACGGACATCTACGGATGTTCCCTCACTCGGTTATAGAAACGGCGGAGCTTTTATTTCGTCAAATCTCCTTCTATGGGTGCATTTTCGGAGAGCACAAGTATTTCTGTAGTGTGGAACAACTCTCCTTCAAATACAAAATAAAAAAAAGAACAGAGGGTGTGTTTTCAGTCTTTGTTGGACTTCTGTTTTTTTAATTCAACTCCACTTGAAGTCAGAGAAATGGTCTGGTTCTTTGAAGTTGCAAGAAGAGTGAACCGATTCAATGAATGGTTGCTTATCCATCAAGAGTGTTAGCATGGTCGGAAAGATGTCATGGTTGGAAAGATGTCATGGTTTTTCTCCCATTTTAAGGAAAATGGGCATGGGGAGTGGCTGGTACAAGTGAATTGACAGTCCAAGAGCTTGAGAAGCTCAAGATGATGATCACACTCCCTGCCCGTCTTGACTACTTGTGAATAAATGGGTGTGAAGGAGTGAAATGTGGGTGGATGTGCACATCTATATGTTTCAGGTGGGCAGTGCGATAGGCTTCCCAGCCGTTAGCCCAAGCAGGAGCGTCCGGCACCGTGGCTCTGGGAAAGCAGGAAAGACTGCACCACCTGCTCTGTGACCTGCGGGCTTGTGTTGACGTCCTCCAGCGCGTTGGCTACTGCAAACTGCCTGTCCCTTAAACGATTCCAGTTGGACAGAATATTGTGGTACTCAAAGACCTTCTCGTAGTTTCCAACTGAGTTGTACAGTTTTATCAGGCCTCTGTAGTCATATTCCAGTCCACTGTAACCCTCCCCGAACAGCTTCTTGCCTGCAGGAAATAGACGAATAGTTTATGTTAAGAACAAGATTCTACACTTGAAGAAGAAATTAATCCTTTTATTCAGTAAGAAAACAGTTTTTTACATTGTTACAAAGGCTTATTTCAAATAAATGTGACGTGCTGGCAAAATGAGTCAGAACTTACTACTTCCGAGCTACTTCTTTTGGTTGAATTTGAGGTTTTCCCAAAAATAAGTTGATTAAGCCCTTGTCTAGTGATCCCAATGCTCCAAATAGTAGTTAAACATCTCAAAGTATCTTTCTTTGTACGTTTTCTGAGAGGAGTACCTTTCCTTTGTCCATGAAAAATGCTGTTTTTCTTTGCTCACTTCTTGATGACTGGCACTTCCCCTGAAGCACAAGTTTGGTATCGTTTTAAAGCGCAGCATTCCAACTTTGTGAATATTCATAGCGAATTCTCGATGACGTGAGTCTGAACCAATGAAATGTGATTTTCAAACTCATGCTGATGTAAACAAAACAATCATTATATCAAAGGCGTGCGCACAAAGACGCCTCAGAGAGCGCGCGATCCCGATATACACTCAATTACAGTTTTTCTAAATTTCTGTCTTGGCGATATTCACGCAAACATTATCTGTTGTCTTAAGTGAACATTTGTTTAACTGTTGGGGAAAATATAACATTATATTAGATCTGTGGGTACAGTAGGTCTTAATATAGGCTGTCTGTTTCATGTTAATCAAACAATTGTGGTATCATAAAAAAAAAAGTTGAATATCTATTTTTCTTATAGATATATGGTTTTGGTAATAAGACCAAATTTGGTCTTATTACCAGGGATTTTAAGGTATGATTGCTAGGTGATTTTGTTTGGGAACCTTCAGAAAACTTTAACTTGATTTTTCTCAAAATGTATTTTGCGGACTATATATAACAATAACTCACTTTTAAAAAATTTGCTCATTGCGTCTCATTTTGCCAGCAAGGGTCACACATGCTGTTCTTGGAACTTAAAAAAAGTCTAAATAAATATAAAAACAAACAAAACAAAAATCAATCATTTAAAATGTTCCAAGTGACTTAATTATATTACATTATGTACATTATGAAAAATGGATATTCATTTTGAGATTTGGTTTTAACATAGTTAAAATTTAAACATTAAATAAATTAAAAAATATAAATGAATTAAAAAAATATATATATTTTTTTAAATGTAAAATAAAAAAACAACAACTAATTAAGCATTTGATGGCGGCAAAGGCAAACAAAATGCAAAAATAGTGGAAATGAGCATAATTAAATAAACAATTTTGTCCAACAAATATGTCCAATATCAACCGACATAAATAACAATAATTTAAAAAAAGACCAACAACTGAACAGGAATGTCATGCATGTCCACCCAAAATGCAACTACAGAAGTAACCCTCACCAATAGCGATGGAGCGCAAGTAGAGGCGCTCGGCATCATCGTACTGATTCATGTCATAGTTATAGAGCGAGGCCAAGTGTCCCACTGACAGAGCCACCTCATAGTCCTCCTGTCCCAACAGCTGCTCCTTGATCTGAATGGCCTTGATGTGCATCTCCTCTGCCTCCTGCATTACAAATCACACCATGGAAAGGTCAGTCAGCCCAACAGCGACCTCAAAAGCACTCTGTTGAGTTTGGCTTACACAATAGAAAAAAACACATGGCTTTCACAACGGTCCACTTGTGGTGATTTCCATATATTATTAATGGTAACATTCTCACAGGTTTAAATAAGGAGGAACTAATAAAAACCTTGAATTTGCGCATGGATTGGTAGAGGCGGCCCAGGTTGCCGTAGTGTTTCGCCGTCTGAACGTTAAACTCTCCGAAGGCTTTTTTGGCCAACTGGAGAGAGGAGAGGTGCAGATCATGGGCCTCCTGCAGGAGGCGTTCCTCTGTTTCTTTGTTATGACAATCGATGGCAATCTCCTCCAGGATTAGGGCTTGAGATGTAACATCAGAATTACAAATTAGACTGAAGTAACATGATTTTTCAATTAAGTAAAAAAAAAAAAAAAAAAAAAAACACAACCCTAAACAAACTGAAGAGTGAAAAGATAATGCTACTTTGAACCAATGCTACCATCTTAATGTTGTCATTCCAGTAATGCAGCTGTGAATGAGGGGAGTTATGAAAGCTTTTCAAAGTGCTAGTCTCACCTTTCACCCTCTTGGACGAGGCCAGAAGCAGATGGTCTTCAGGGAGAATGTGAGTTATGATGTCTATGGCACGTTCTGCGTGGAATCTAAAAGCAAAATTCAAAGTATGAAACTGGTAGGTTATTCGATAAACACTTCCAAGAAAAAAACAATTCTAAAAGAACAACTTAATTGTGTTAAAGGTTAGGGCAACTACTGGACATCTGTGTCATGGACTTCTTAACACTCGAGGGACACATGAAATGGTATAAAAGTTCATACGAGATTAGTTGCAAACAAAAATACAAAGTTTCATCTTGGAAACTGGCAGCTTGCTTTTCAAGAAGTGACCCAAGACACCAATTAAATTATTCATATTTTCATGGTGATCGTAATAGGAGGAATGTTTGTCTGAACGATTATGTATTGTTCAGTGTTGCCTAATGAATTCTGTTTTTAGAGCATGGGAATGCCACGTCACCCAAGATTACAGATTTTTGTGAAAAAAAAAAAAGTTAATTTAATGAAGGATTTATTCAGAATGATTCAAATGGATAACATTATTTTTAAACAATTCATTAAGAGAACCTGCTCATAAGAGTCGTCGTTTTATGAATCATCTACAATCTATGTGTCCTATAATTCTATTTAGAAGCATATGAATGTAAGCACTGAGTAGCAGTACAGGAATCATTGATATAGTTCATTTACCCACCCAGATGTCATCATAATTCTCTAAATTAACTCTCTAATGCACTCCGGACAGGATTGAGACACTCACAGTGCGTTATCGAATTTTCCAGAGCTGTACTGATGGACGTAGGACGAATACGCCAGGTCCTCATGTGCAGTTGCAACATGAATATTCTTTCCTCCAAACACGGATTGCCGAATATCGAGTGCAATCTGAAGGTAGAAAACACACATTGTTTTTCAGCGAATGAGAAAATGTTTTATTTATACTTGCAAAGAACCCAAATTTTAAATAATTCTTAGCTCACCTGGTAAATGACCACTGACTGGCAGATATTATCCACGTTTAAGAGATAAAATCCATAATCTAGTAGTGTATCTGAGTATTTTGGGTGCTTGTGCCCAAAATGTTCCCTGGAAACAAAATGTGGGAATATATAAAGCATTTCATCGGTGTAAAATCAAACATAATTTCACCATCACCCGCGCTTTAAATATGCATGGGAGTTCTTACCGTGCCAAAAAAACTGCATGTTTTATCAGTTGTTCAGCTTTCCTGAACTCCCGCTTAACAACACAAGCCTGCAGAGATCAATTTCATGATGACGTAATGTGACAATGGATCGGAAGTTTACATCTATTTAAAAAAAACTCCAACATCCAGCAATCACTGACCTTAGAGGCTTGTCTGAGAACATCAACTACTACTTTCACAGGTAAGCCGACAGTGATCTCCCTCATAGCCTCTATACACCACCTATAAGCCTAAAACACATAAGGAACACAACTGTAGAGCAGCCGTTCTCCAAACAGACTTCTGGTATTGTTGCATTGGGACTTACCTCATCATAGTGGCTTTTGGCAAATAGCAGGGCACATAATTCTCCATACAGGGCAGCCTTATTAGCCTGATGGCCGTGTTTGGCTAGTTTGTCCATGTAAGACTGGGCCAGTTTGAAAGTCTCTTCTCCCAGGTGGTATTTGCAGTTGCCATTACGCACATGAAGTAACCTGGCACACAAAGGCCCAATAACACATTAGTAAGATTCACTATTCTATGCTGTTTTGTAGTATAAATAGTGTGAGTAGTGTGTATCACATTTTAAATACCCAGATGATGCACTTCATTAAATGAAAAAACGAAGTGTGGAATATTGGACACTTCATGCCCTCAACTGTCACAGCTTTAATTACGTAACGGACGGGGAGGGGGGATCAGACAAAATAGCCTTATAAAAATCATACACAACATGGTTGAGTACATAGTGCACAATGTATAGTGCACAATGTATAGTGCGTCATTTGGGACACAAGTACTGTTGAAATGACTAACTGACCATTTACTGCTAGAAGAGACTCAAGCTGACACATTTACTCACCTCACACAGCACTCCACAGCACGATACCAGTGAAGAACCTCATCGTGTAATGTGCACAGCTGGAGACAAGACAGAAAGACTTTCTCTGCATCTCCATACCAACCGGCATCTGATAAAAAGCCACCTGAGATGGAAGAAAAGTATTATTACAATTACAACAGCTTGTTATTATAAGCTGAAAGAGCAGAAAAGTGAGCACCATACCTAAAACAAAGCCAAACTGTATAGCTTTCTCTTTCACGTGCGCATCTGACTCTGCGATGTATGAACATCGGCGGCTGAAGGAGTTGGCCAGGACTGAAGCGACCTTCACACCGTGGTCCATCAGAGCCTGGAAGCAGTGGTGTAAGAGGTGCCTGTGGAAGAAAACATGTTCTGTCTTTCATCTAATCAGTCTCCATGTTAAAAGTGACTTACACATTTTTTTTCTGAGGTGAGGTTATAGGGGGTATAGGGATAATTCTTTAACCTTATGCAATGACAAATATTATAGTAGCATATTACTACTACAGTTGGACCAATTCAGTTTTTTAAAGGTCCGCTGACATGAAATTTCCACTTTCTGAGTTTTTTTAACATTAATATGAGTTCCCCTAGCCTGTATATGGTCCCCCAGTGGCTAGAAATTTCAATCGGTGTAAACCGAGCTTTGGCTATCTTTCTCTGCCTTTGAGAAAATGAAAGCTCAGACGGGCTGATCTTGAATCTCCTCCGTATGACATCATACGGAGGAAAGGTAACCTCCCCTTTCTCTGCTTTGCCCGCCCAGAGAATTTGGCTCGCCCATGAGAAAATGAGCTAGGAAGTACGAACGTGCGAGCGCGATTAGAGTTTTTCCTCGAGAGATATCATGGCTTGCAAACGAGCGAAGCATGGCAGTGCATCAGTGTTCGATGTACAAATGAACACAAAAGTATTTTTTAGTTCCTTCATCCGAGCCTCTGAAGAAACAATGGGTTAATTTTGACTGTTTCCTCAACTTGGGCCAATACAGAGCTGGCCTCGATGAACGTCTGAAAATAAATCGATCGAGCTACCAAGCAACAATTTCTGATGTGTAGCCTAATTGTTCAAGTTCAGACAGGAAATCTTGGTAACACTTTACAATAAGGTTCATTAGTTAACATTAACTAAGAATGAACAATACTTCTTCAGCATTTGTTAATCTTTGTTAATTTCAACATTTACTAATACTTTATTAAAATCTTGTTAACATTAGTTAATGCACTGTGAACTAACATGAACAAACAATGAACAGCTGGATTTGTATTAACTAACGTTAACAAAGATTAACAAAAACAGTAACAAATGTATTGCTCATGGTTAGTTCATGTTAGTTAATACATTAACTAATGTTTAATAAATGAACCTTATTGTAAAGTGTTACCGAAATCTTTCTCTCAAAATCGTTCAATACTGTTTATGCAAGTCAAGCCAGTGACTAAAATATCAACTTCACATCGTTTCTTTTAGTAGGATGAAAATAATCTTATTTAAATTGTGAACAAATTATACAGAAAGCGATCAAAGAACAATCTTTCCACACAGCGCGAGTTTATCTGGACAACACGTTATGAAATCAATGTCGCACGTTACACATCACAACGAAGCTCTTACTGTATGTACATCATCGTGTTTGCATTGGTGAAAGCATTAGAGAGAGTGCAGAAACTGCGTTGCAATGATAAGATCTTCATTCTCGCGATCAACAGACTGTCATCTGCTTGCTCAATGCTCATCACGGCAACATTTTATGTGATGGGAATAGATCTAAATACTTTAAAAACTTCTCACAATTCGTTAATCTCGATAGCTGTTATAGTAAAAACGTATAATAGCTGTAGTAAAAGTATTCGAGAGAGTTTCACGTGTAATATGTAGCTATTTCATTTGCAAGCATGTTAGCCAATCACAGCAGTGGGCGGTTACACTGAATCCCACAGCAGACACGCCCCTTCAAACAGGAAAAATGCCTTTTATTTCTAAATTATGACTATTTTTGATCTAAAAAACATACTAACATTATAAGGGCAACCCAGGAAACATTATAAAATAATAAAATAACCCCATGTCAGGGGACCTTTAAGCTGATATCTAGAGAGCAGATTGGCTTAAATAAAGCCAATGCATATAACTCTTAATATAATTTCATTTAGCCAAGATGCATTACATTTAAAAAGAATTTACTGTCAATTTTGATCAATGTAATTTCCACAAAAATATTAGGTAGCACAACTGTTTTCAAAATTTATAATAATAATAATAAGAAATGTTTCTTGAGCACCAAATCAGCATTAGAATGATTTCTGAAGAATAATGTGCCACTGAAGACTAGAGTAATGGCAGCTTAAAATATAGCTTTGATAAATTAGTAGAGGATTTCATTTTTGCTGGTTTCTGCATCATGACAAAGACCATCACTACATATATTAGTCTTCAACCAAGTCTGGCAAAGAAAGATGCCAATGAAGGCTTGTACCATATACATCATGTGAGATTTGAATCATCAGACCAAAATACACACACACTATCTCATTCAGTCTGGCCATATACACATCATTAAGGTATGGCTTTGACCTATATTACCTTGACAGATTCACTCAGCTGTCAATTACCTTTTGTCAGAGGCCCTGAGGACTTTAGCGAAGACCTCCAGCTCACAAAACTCCCCTCCCAGCTGGCAGAGCCGGCCTTGCTGGTAAAGCTGGAACACAAGAAGAAATGTGAGATTGTTGACCCTACTGTACATGTGACACAACAAAGACAACTCAAGCTTTCCCTTGGGGGTACCAAGGCCCAGAAAACCAAGAAAAGTAGCAATTATAAAGACAGAATGTGCAATCAGGAAGCTTGTGCAAGACCAATAATGTAACGTGTGCCAATAATATTTTGTTTGTGTTATGGCACATTTGGTTTTCGACACCAAATTGACTGATCTTACAAAGAAATGAAAAATAATGTAATGATTAAATGGTCAAATTATCTACACAGAAGAGTAATTTAACCCTTACTGTTAAATTTGAAGCTAAAAACTATGATCATCCGAAGTCAGTGGTTCTTAAACTTTTTGACTCCAAGGTCCCCAATTTTCCAAAATAATTGTATTGTAATTGTAATTGTAATATAGCTATATATATATTCATTTTTGAACTTACAATTTCTACCCGGCAAAATGTTAGAGCTTGGCATAACTACAAAAATGTATATTCATTATAAAAATTCCCATCGAGTTAGAAGACTTTATTTACATGACTTTTCCACATCTAGGTATCACACTTTTAAAATTAGGCTACTTCATTCATCTAGAATTTTCAAAACAGTGGGAACAATTTCTTCTTCTTCAAAACAAAAAAACTTTTTTAATAGATTTTTTTTTTTTTTGCTATTTTGTCTTATTTCCAAGCTTGTTTTGTCTTATTTTAAATCTTAAGTAATCTTTACATCCCCTTGGAAGTTTGCAGAAGTGTTTGAGAACCACTGCTTAAGCAGATCTCTCCTTTAAGCAAAATAAAAATCTAAAGTCTCCAAACTACCTAGAGAAAGAATAATTACGTCAATAAGCCTTCTCTGGTCTAATCTAATGGGTTCCAGTTAAACTTGATTCGTCATTTAACTATATCTTCAAACCAAATTATAAATACAGTCCTCTCTCAAACTCAGTTAGGCAATACAGAAATGCAGAATATTTATTGTCTAATGACTGAGGAATGATGAAAGATTTAAGGTCATTTGTCACAACAAACTCTGAAAGCCTTTGAACACAAAACAGTGGGATTGGTCTAATCACATATGTCCAAAAAGGCAAATCAAATTAAAAAGACAAGAGGGCAAGTCAAGCAGGTCACACGAAGTGGTCTTAAAATGCATGAGCAATGCAAATATTTGATGCATTGAGCATATTTCATTTTACATAACGATTTATATGAGATAAAATAAGTAATTTGGTCCCATTAGTTATGTGGTTTTAGAAAATCATCTCTTTTTCCAAAAAAAAACTCCAACAACTCTCACATCAAGAAGTCATTTACAAAATCATTGGCAAGTAAATCATTAACTAAGATTAATAAATGCTTTAGAAGTATTTTTCCATTGTTAGTTCATGTTAATATTGGAACCATATTATAGTAGTCACTTTTGTCTTTTCTGTTTATTAATTGTTTTCACAGAAACGTTAGTTGGTGACAAACCAGTCAACCCATATTTGCAGATGTCAATTATGTCATACAAAACTTGTGAATTCGTTAGAAACACGGTTATGGTTTAAATACTCGCATGCCATTATAGGTAGTAGCCATAAATAAGGTTAACAGGTTAAAACGTGAGATGTCATAGTGTTTTATGTTTAACTAGTCTTGACCCAGAGAGCTATATCTCATTCAGCAGCAGATAAGCTACAGGCTAAGATAACTGGGACATAGTGTGCACTTCAATCAGTCTTAACCTAAACTGACACACAGAAATGACATGAGTGTACTCTTAAACTAGAAACCCTTAACGGTTAAATCGTCTCGTAGCTCGAGTCTCTCATAACTAGCGCTGCACTGAGAGCTTGGGTCAGTTTTTGTTAGCCAAGCTGCTAGTGAAAAGTGTCAGATGCTTTTACGTTTGTTTCGCAATGCACTCATTCACTGTCCTTCTTACCTTGTAGTACACATCAAACTGTATATTTTCAGGCAGAGAGCGAATATCCCGTCGCGATCGGCCGTAGTTGTCTACCACAGCTGAGATAGCGGTGTTGTACAGGGTCTCAGGGATCCATTCCAGTTCCACCGCGGCCATATTGTTTTCTTTCACTAAATCCAACCACAGCCCCCCCCTCTTCCACTCCTACTTTTACCTCCTTCGCTACCTGATCGAGGTACGACTCTTTACACTGATGCTCCTCATACACCCCCGCAGCTGGAAGCGCTTTTTGAGTTTGAAACGGACTGTAGTGATAGGGAACACAACCCTAAGGTTATGCTCTCATGTTTAAAGCTCATCCCCGATCGAGATGCCCCGCCCACTCTATGACACTTTAGGCAATGACGTAGCGCTAGAGCTCCGTTCGAACTCAGTGAACGCGCATTTGACTGTAGTTCAAAATAACGGCCGCAGGGAGGACGATGGGAATCTCTCAAGAGTAATCAATTTTTTTTTTGTCATATATCTATTAGCCATTTTAATGTTAATGTGTCAGGAAACAAAATTAACCTTTAGTAAGTATACATATTTACAATGTACAACCTTTCTTTTCTGGGAAAATGGAACGAAAAGATTGAACTCATCCTGCATTAAACAGATTTTTGTCAAAAGTTCACAAAAATCTAAAATCCTAAAAAGGAATAAATAATTTGAAAATAAAAGCAATCAAAACACTTACTAAAAAGATGGAATACTGTATTCGTTATTCGTAGAACCGTAAAATTTAAAATCTGAGGGGGTACTTTTTTTCCGGGTTGTAGTACGTACGTCATACTGCAAGTCAGAAAACTCGATAGACAATGACAAAGTATTTATTATTTTGCATTGATCTAAATATATGTAAGAATAGATTAGAATAGAAGGAGATGCCTTGTGGATGTTCCTCCCCATGTGAGACAGCCTACTACCATCCATGACCATGTTATGGAATGCCAAAGCTGCCGAAATAAGAAATAAATAAATATACAAAGAAATGTAAAAAACAAAAATAAACTTGTGTTTATACTTTTATTTCCTTATTTATTTATAATTCTATTTAAATGTTTTTAATGTAAATTTAATTGTAAATTAAAATGTAAAATAAATGTAACTTTGTTTCCATATTTATTTATTTTTTCATTTATTTATTTATTTATTTATACATTTATTTATTTCCACTTGTCCACACACCTCTTGCATTTTGTTTGGTCACACCCATAGCATAGGTCACACCGAAAAGAAATACATTTGGAAAGAAATACATGTAGACATAAATACATATATAAATAAATAAATGTGGAACTAAATAAATGTACTATAAAAAAAATAAAAAAAATGAATGTGGAAAAAAATACAAAAATAAGGAATAAGGAAATACAGAATAAATAGACATTTATTTGCGTTTTACATTTTGTTTTACATATATTTGTATAATTATTTATGCATTTTATTGACTTTGTTTAGTTTTTTTTTTTTTTTTTTTACATTTCTTTTTATATTATTTATGTGTTTATTTATTTCTTATTTCGTCAGCTTTGGCATTCCATACCCTGCCGAGCAGGAATTGAAGGTGGGCACCACCTACTGGCCACTACTAGTAAAATCCATTTAGCAGTATCATAAGAAAATCCTTTGAAATCAGTTGTATGTTTTTTCACCCAATTAGTGTAAATGATACTTATCGGACTAGATTTCAAACTACCTCCCTCCTAATGTAGATTATGTATTCCTTTGTGCCGCACAGTGACAGGTATTCCCAGGGGTTTTCGAACTGGGGTTGCAAGAGAGTAATAGGAGTCTGTGGATAAGTCTAGAGAAAAACTGTAAAAAATAATAATAATAAGATTTAAATGAATAGGCCTAAGTGAATAGATAAATTAGATTAAAATAAAAATGAATAATACATTTAACATTACATTCATAGTGAGTAAAATATGTGTAACTTAATAGAAACTATAATTTTACATTTAGAATATTCATTTTTCACTGTTTAAATTTGGTGTTTATAAAAGATGCCTTTTAAATTTTAGGATGTGGGTCTTTCACACAGTGATGATCAAATTTGGGGGTCTGTGGCATCTAAAAGATTGAAAACCCCCGATGTATCCTACATATTATTATTATATACCTACTATATGGTTATTTTGTATTTTTATCCAAGTATTATATCTCGTTAGAATAATTGTAATCTTCCTTAATTGTAATTTCATTATTGTTCATTGAACTAAAAAAAAACAGGCTTTTCAGTACTTGAAAATGAAAATGGTTAACCTTAAGCAAAGTCACAAATTACTTCTCCCACTTAAATAAATGTTACAGTAGACCAAAGAGTAGGCTGCTCTGAGTAAAATATACAAAAGTACATGATTATGATGAATAACACATTATACTAATTATCAAAAGCAATCATAAGTGCAAAACAAAATATAATTTGGCTTCACAAACTTATTTTTGAAATGTGTCACTATATTTGTGAGGTCATTTTAAAAAGAAAAAGGTCCTCACAGGTAGTTAAACTTAGTACACAATTTAGTAACTTATAATTGCTTAAGCAAAAAAAAAAAAAAAAAAAAAAGTAGGGGCATTAGTGTATTGTAATCTTATTAAGACATGACCCCAAGATCCCGTCAAAAGTTCAAGCCCATAAACACCTGCAATTTTAGCATGTAAATACTATCAAAGATTTATTAATTTTGTTAATGAGCTTTTATTTTTATATTTTCAGTTTTGTATTTTAATTTAAGTATTTTTGTTATGTGTTTTTGTAATTTTTATTATTATTTTTAAATATTACTATTTAGGTTTTATTTTATTTTTTTAGTTCAGTTTATTTTTTATTTAGTACCAGTTTGTATTTTTAGTGCTACAAAAAAACAAAAAACACTATTTCAGTAAATTACCAAAGCAAAATTTCTAATTTTAATTTAGCTTTTAATCCAATTTTTATATTTTATTGCATCTTTATTTCAACGAGCAAAAATGTTTTAAGTTAACATTATCTCTGAGACTCTGACCCATACCAAAGCTTTGATCTAACGGGGAGACCCTTCGGTGTCAGGTTTATATAGCCTATCTCTAGACCTGTTTTGAAATGACTTTACAGTAGCTACCAAGTGGCGACCACCAAAATCATAACGAGACAATAGATTTTTATTCCACTGAACAACGTGTCTGACATTGATTTCTGCAGCTGCAGTTCTCAACACAGACAGCAGATGTCGCCGTTTCTTCTCACCGAACAATAAGCAGCGTGAGGCCAACCTACCCTACCGCCTTTATCACTATATATTTACAACAGTGCTCGCTTGCTCACGTTCAGCTGCGCCCATCTAGAGGATAGAACGAACAGAATCAACACCGTTCCCTACCAAAAACCTGGATACCTCACAACGGTGAGTCCAGCGGACTTTTATGTATATATCTATTTATGTTTTAATCCTGTAAAACAAGATAACATCCAGTTATTTTCAGGAGGTAAAATCCCATGTCAGGGATGTAAGCATGGGATCAACAGCAGTCCGCTGCTGGATATAGAGGCGAAGAAAGGACCCTTATCAGCCACTTACTCATGCTAACTGACCTGCTAACTGTAGTCGGAGGGTTCTTACATTCTCTGTTCATTCTGTTTGGTAGTTTCACGCTAAAATATGTGTACTCTGGTGGTCTGTGTTTAACAGGTTCAGTCCGTGTCCAGCTAATTTAAAGGCTTGGAAGCTGATTTTGAGCGTTAGCGTTTGGCTTTCCTGCTGCTGAAGATTGACGAGTCTCTCGCCGCTCCGGTTGACTGACCGGGCAATTTATATAAGGTTTCTTGTCCTAACGTGTGTTTCCCTTTTATGTGACTCTCGCCTGGATTGTATCTCTCTAGCCTATAGTGCGTCAATGATACAATGTAGCAAACCGCAGGTTTATAGGCTACATTGTAATAGAACGCTTAATTATATTGTAGCATTATAGGTGTGAAGGAGGACAAGGGAGTCGCCCTCACTTTCCTTTCATGTCAGTGGTCAAGTGCATATAGGGTTTATCAGTTTATTAACAACAGTTATGCAATTAAACGATTAAATGTTAGTCAATACACAATACATTCTCAGACTAGACACTATTATCAGATTACTTTCTCTATTATTATGAGGCCATCAAAACTGCATGTATTCATTAATGAATGTCAAAAGTTTATATGTATATGAAGTTTGTATCATGCACACTGCTGGACACTGATGCCACTCCTTTGTGTCATGTCAAATACCCATTAAAACTGTTGGGTTTTGGAGCTAACCGGTTACCTTAGTACATTTTTGTAAGAGACTTTAACTTTTAAATGCTTGTTCAAACATGCTGAGCATAATCAGAATATTCCAAAACCCTCATGAAATTCAAGCTAATATTCTGTGCTTTAAAGATACTGATGCTGATGCAAACGAAAATGAGAATAACTCGTTGGACTAATGCATTGAGAAGTCTGACATGCTTTCAGGCTCAGGCAGTGTCTTTATCTTGGTTTTGATTACCACTATCCACTTATATTCATAATGCATTTTATAATCATTATTATCATAATAAATGTTTCTGTTTTATTGTTTATACTAGCTAGGGTTTACTATGTGTTGCATTTATATATTATTGTTGAACTCAAATTATAAATAGTAGTACAATTAGTAGAGTAGGTAGTATTAGGTACTATCATTGAGTATTGCATTAAGTCTGCATCAAACCTTTTTTGGGGAAGGATTGCCCAAATTGCCTTCCTGTATTATAGGGAAGAATTTGGCCCCTGGTTAATGGAACTTGTTTGGATGATGAAGTCTCCTGCTGGTGGGAAAATAGGAATGTTAGAGGCCCGTGGCTTTGATAGCACCTCCCCAATTCCTTAAACCCTGTTTGTTTCACATCCTTTAGTGAAATAATGATGATACGTGTCTTCCTTACACTAAAACTTGTCAATTTTGCTATTCCGGTGAATATTATCATGCCACATTATGTTATAGAAGTCTATTTCTTGAGTGAAGGCCAGTCAGTGATTTCAACTGCATACTTTACCTTTTCACAAAGTAATTGCATATTGTAATGCAGGATATTGAGTTTCAATTTAGTTGGAAATTATGACATGACATGACAAGAATCTAAAATATTCTCATTGTGCAAAGAAACATGAAAAATGATACTATTATTGATGCTATATTTTTCTCTCTCCAGGGAGCCATAATTAATCCATTCTGGATGTACAGAAGCCACTCTGTCTCTGTATGGAAAAATCTCTCACTTCTAAAAACATTGGTGCTTCTGTAGTGGAACGTAGACTACTTTTGGGGACAATATGTTCAACTTGATCAAAAAAGACAAGGAGA